AATATGAAATAAATGAAATAATTTTCAACTCAAACAGACCAAAACGTCTGACACTGTCATCTCATCTTGGTTCCCACTGCAGCCTCAGTGTTACTGACTCTAAAGACCTGATAAGCAGTTCAGGCAGATACGCTCAGCACATGGAATTAAAGGAGCTTTAGCAGGTGAGTGATCCTCCTTCTGTTGATGTCAGCGCCGTGTCCTTTTGTAAAGGTGAGTGTAAAACTCCACAACACTTACACTTTCTACACCTTCAGAAAATCAATGGATGTTCTGTACGGGATAAAAAGCTGCTGAGATAATTCCCTTTTTATTGGTTTCATATGTTTTGTGAAATTCTGTCATTAAAACGGTTATTTCAGCGACATTACTCTGCAATGAGTGACAGTATCACCATTAATACCAATCTGGGAATTTCTTGCCAAAAGCTGTGTAGGAATCTATAAAGATTTGTGTCAAATGAAAACATGAGATGAAGAAATAATATCTCTACCTGGAGTGAGGCATCTCCACAGAGCAGACGTTATCAGAGGAAGAAATGTGTCTCCGGTGAAAGTGTTCGATTCCAGCAAACCCAGTGAGCTGTCAGGAGATTTCCAGGAGTCTGTGATCTGTGGGTGAGACTCCGAGTCCGACTCCCTCATCTGTGCTCACGTGCCTCAGCCTGAGAGAGAGAGAGAGAGAGAGAGAGAGACCATCTGCCCCCAGCGACAGGTTGAAGGCCGGACCAGCTGAGAGTCCAGCTCTCACTACCCATGATCCCACGGGGGCCTCACCTTTAGCACCTCAGAGGTTTATTCAACTCAGGTGAACTTTCCACGAGGGTTCAAGGTGGATTGAGGTGAAGGGATATTGTTGTGGATTTTATCCCTTCACTCCAGGGACTCTCATTGAATCCATTCATCAATGGATTTGGCGACATGAGGAATAATAAGTTTATGGTCAGTGAAGCATAACTCTGGGTTTACTTCACTGTCTCATGTTTTTTATAGCTTGGCTTTTTAATGTTTTGCATTCCCAACAGGATGCATCATGTGTTGACCTGACTTTACCTCTAGCACCACCATGTGGTCAACATTTGGGTTTATAATTGAAATGTGTCAACGCCTACATTGACAGAAAATCAGCCTCAGTTGTAGTTTGAGCTCGTCATTAAATATGATGAGGCAAAATCACCGCAGATCTTATCGTTCATCACAGACGTAAAATACCAACACTTAAGCAACACTGTAATAAGGTTTGGTGTCAGAGAACTTTCACATTCTCAGTCAAATGGGTTCATTTCAGCCTCTATAAGAGAATCTATTGATGCCAAATTCGAACAGTAGTGACAAACATAAGTTCAGCAAAGATGTGTTTTCATGCTACATCTGTCACAGGAAGATTGTGTTGTAACTCCTTTTAAAATATGCCATAAAAACAGCAGTTTGAAAACACTTGCATGAAAAGGGGACTCCCAGGAAAGTTGTATATTATAATAATATCTTGGACAACCAAGCTAATCTTATTTATAGGCACGGATATAAAACCAGACGTCTCCTGACACAGCTTCGAGTGAAACACAACAGGAACAGTTATATTTTATAGTGGAGCGTTAAAGACCTTACATCCATTCAAACGGCTGAATGACGGCACAAACACAACGGCACATGTCAGGAGGGCAGAGCATATTAATAACGACAGCAGTGATTGTCACATTACCACAGGGACACTGAGCTGCAATAAGGTCGACCGTGAATTGGAGCCGTGTGGAAAAAATGAAGTTCTTTCTGTGAGGAGCGTAATAAAGACGTCACCAGCCCGTGGTCGTTTCATTAAATATGTCTTTCTATTGTCTGGCACAGTCGATCACTGGAGAGCAGCTGTTTCAAAAGGTGAGAGATCAGGTAAAAAAATGACAAAAGTGCTTTGTGAGAAATGACAGGCAGCTTATTTAATGTATTCTTAGTCCGGCTACAGCTCTATGACAGCGATGTTGGCCCTTTGGCCTGTTGGTCCACTACTTTGGTTTGCACTGAAATATTTCAAAAACTACTACATTGACATTTACGTAATATAAAGATATATACAGTACGTATAAAGATATTAAATCCTACAGACTTGGGTGAGCTCCTGAAATAAGCTCCTAAATATGAACATTTTGATCAAATCTGCAAAACAAATGAAAACCTCACCAGCTTCTGTTGTACTTTGTGTTCATGTAAATGATCTTGAATGAAAAAAATCTAACATATTTAAAGGGCTGATTTCTATGAGTTACAGCTTGGTTGACTTTAAGGGGACTGTTGGGCCCAATGAGTGATTATTATCTGCTTTATATTATTTCTCTTTTGTTAAGACAACATAACTCATATCAGTGGACATGAATCCTTTCCCTGTGTGTGAAAAACGTTTCTGTCATGTCCTGTATTATGTCCACATTTCTTCCTCTTGTTCTCAGACACGACAAAATAAATATGTATTGGTTGAGAGTATAATTGAGGGAAATCCTCCCCTCTAATGACACATAAATACAGCATGTTTGCACAGTGTGGTGTTGATGAGCCTGCAGCTCCCTGGAATATGAAAACATACAGTGATCAATTCATGAAACCTGTGTGTGTGTGTGTGTGTGTGTNNNGTGTGTGTGTGTGTGTGTGTGTGTGTGTGTGTGTGTGTGTGTGTGTGTGTGTGTGTGACTGCAGAGCAAACAGTATTGATCAGAACCTTTCACGTATGTACATGAAATGTGATTTTCACCTGAGTGGTTTGAAGATCAATTAAAGTCACTATATATTTCAGTTTTTGTATCTGTACGTACTGAGCAGATTCTCCTCCGATCTTATAACCAATGTGCGGATCATCTGTCATTTGCATATATATGTGACAATAGCAGTTTTTTTCAAATCCACCGAATAAGTGATCAGAAAGTTTTAATATTCCAAATGCAATATAATACTTTGCGTTCATCGGAAAACAAAAAACACAGTCACATGTTCAGTTTTGGCTCAGTGTTGAAATGAATCAGCGCATGAAGTGTTGGTTCCCTGGAAAATAAATAAAGTGGAATTGAAAACTGTCCATATCCAGTTTTTGAAAGACAAAAATACATGTTTTCAAAATTGAGTTGCCATCTTTGTTTGAGTTTTTTAACAGACACTAGACATGCTCAGATAATTCACCTCACACAGAACAACACATAACAACATATTTGCTGATAGTTATACACACAGGTTTCTTTCTGCAGGTCCGGTGACACCTCATCAGACACATGATTTTTAGATATGTGTAGTCATGCTTCTACTTAATACAGACAAAGTATGCATGACCACTGTGGTTTTAGAAATTATTCAAGAGAACGCTCCCATATCCCCCAGCTTCACATTATAGGACAAGGATATATACTTAGATGTAGGTAGGTTAAATTATAAAAACATATGCAGAACATACATCTCACTTTCATGACCATTTCATCATCCTTTGATTTGATTTAAGTTCCCAGACTCATTCATTAATACCTCACATAAAGTCTGTTGTATCTGAGCACTCTATATTTTCACATGTGTATAAATGACATCTTAATATTGACTTTGAATGAAACATGCAGTGAAGGCTCAGGGAAGTTCAAAGTACGCTCTGATAACCACTGATCAACGTAAAGTGTTTGCAGTGGCTGAGCAGAGTAAAGATGAAAGCTTCTTTATTCACATGTGCTTCCACGGGAGCCGTGATTCAATGGTACAGTCAGTTAATGCAGATCTCCGGATGTGACCAGCAGACTCTGATGTTTGTTTTTCACTTTTTAACAGTTCCAACAGTTGATTCATGCATCATTCATCCCCTTATAAAGTAATAATCAAATTCATCTGCAGCTGTTGCATTAATTATCGTGTGCTAGGATTTAGCTTTTAATATTTGCCCTTTACTTTCAATATTAATTTTTGGTGTTTTTGTTTGAGCATAAATTTCGTTGTCACACTTTAATGCTCATGCAGTATTCACCGGAGCCCTTTTTTTGTGTCGTGTTACTTTTATGCAGTGCAGCCAGTTGTTGTTGGTGTTTTTAAACATCTATAAAGATAAAGTATTAAAATGCATAGAAAAGATTTGATCTTTTTTGTGGTCTCCGGCTGCTGCTCCTCTTACAGTTTGCTGTTGAAGTCCTTCCCATAAATCTTGTCCATTATTTTTTATGCTTCTTTCGATTGTGTTCAGCTTCGTTTGTTCTTTCTTGAAATAATCTTTGTGCAACATATTTGCTATCCACAGTTTTTACCAAAAATAATATAATGCCAGATTTGTTTTTGATGGATAGACACATGACAATGAACTGTGTTTTGTTCGTGTTATGGTTTCTCTGAAAGACATTTATCCAAAATCAATCGACACATTGAAAGAGCACAGCTTTTAAAATCAGTTCACTGTAAATGTCAGTGAACAGACTCCTGAAAACATGAACGAACATATACAGCTGCGAGAATCTTATCCACCATCACTTTCATTTACAGCCGGGGATAAATGCTCAGGCCGTCTCATAGCAACCTCTCCTCAACCCCTTGATTCTAGGACTCCATGAAAACTGTAGCACAGGGTGGTAAAACAACGTGTTGTTCCAGTGTGACACGTGAGACACTGAGACTCTTTCTAGGACTTAATCACAACATATTACTTATTATTTTTCTCACTTTAATTTGGCTCATAATTCACGTTGAGTTGTGCTAAAACCCCAACTCCTGCCTCCCTACCATGTCTCTTATTAATGAACAGAAAAATGTACGAGGGCGGATCAAGAAAACACTGAATGGTAATAAGAGATAATCTTTTGAGGGCAGCGTGATAAGCGACCTGAAACAACAAGGCTGCCCTCCGATTATATGAGGAAGACAAGGGCTCTTCACAGATGCAGTGAATTATTCATTCTCACAGGAACAGCTCATTGTTTTCATTTATTATAAAGAAAATTTAAATATATTTCCCCAGCTCCTATGTTTTATTCATGATCTTTAAATAATGTGAAGTAAGATGGGGTTTTTTTTGTTTTATCTGTCAAACACATTCAGCATAGTTTAGTCAGTGCAGGGCTGCAAGTTATTACAGTTCCAGAGATGAAAGTTCATAAAAAAAATAAAATAAAGATCCTCACATGAAAAGATGGAAAAGGGAAACTGTCAGAAGCTCAGTGATAATGAGCTCTATCCCTCTTCCACTCTGAGAGTAAAAGGTTGTAGCTTTAAAAATAGTTGGTGGGTATGTTGTCGTTGTTGTGTGGAACTGTGTGTTGTGTGTTGAGTTTGTCTGGACTTTAGATTTCTATTAGATTTAACACGCAGCAAGCAGAGGAAAGTTTCACACCAGAGAAATTAAAGCCTTACATCTCAGAATATGAAGCGGGAAAACGAACTTTTCCTGACAAAGATATTGATTTTTTTGCGAATTCCAACTGATGTTCCACGGTGGAACAGACGAGAAGATATAAATGGCACCGTGGGAGCGATGCGGCCGCTATAGAAGCCTCTTGAGCTGTGTGTATATATGGCTCTCATTGATTCTCCCTCAGACCCTTGTGACATCTCTTTCATCATTAAACCCCTTATAAGGAGTTTATCAGCCCTATACAGCTGGCACAATGTCCTGAGAGGCTGATGGCCTAATTGCTTTATAAAATATTTTCAAAGT